TTGCTTATAAAGGAGAGACATGCATTGGGTCTCATGTATCACTCCGTGGCTCAACCCATGTATGAAGCAGTAGGTGTCTATGCTATTGTCGATGTCCCCCAGCATCCTGCCTGCTCCCCAGGCACTACTGCAGAAGGCAGTATGTCTTCTGTACATCCAGTGTCATAGCTCCAAGCCTATGAAAATCCCAGGGGATATCAGGTGGCAGTAGGTACCTCTGAATACACACAATTGAATCAAGCCGGCCAGATTAACTTTTATCATAGAATAACAGAACCATTGAACAGTTTGCGTTGGAAGAGACTTTTAAACAGCATCTAATTCTCCCCCCCCCCCCCCGCCATTGGCAGGGACATCTCTTATTAGATCAGTTTGCTTAAAGCCCTGTACAATTTGACTTTGAACACTTCTCTGGGCCACCTTTTGCACTGTCTGATCACATTCATCATAAAACATTTCTTCCTTCTGTCCAAGCTATACCTACCCTTTGTCACTTTAAAACACTTTCCCTTTGACCTGTCACTACAGATGTTGATAAAGAGTCCTTCCCCACCTTTCCTGTAGGCTCCCTTTAGGTACTGGAAGGCCACCATAAGGTCTCCTTGGAGCCTTTGCTTCTCCAGTCTGAACTCTCTCAGCCTCTCTTCATAGGAGAGGTGTTCCAGTTCACTAAACCATGTCCTGAAGTGCCACATGTACACGTTTTTGAAATACCTCCAGGGATGGTGCTCCACCACCTCGACAGCCTGTTTCAATATTAGACTACTCTTTCCATAAAGAAATTTCTCTTAACGACCAATATAAACTTCCCCTGGCACAACTTGAGGTAATTTCTTCTCATCCTATTACTTGTTACTTGGGAGAAGAGACCAACCCCCCCACACACACCTCACTACAACCTCCTTTCAGATAGTTGTAAAGAGCAATAAGGTCTCCCCTCAGCCTCCTTTTCCAGCCCAAACACCCTCACTTCCCTCAGCCACTCCTCATAAGTCCTGCTCTCCTGACACTCCACCAGTTTCGTTGCCGTTCTCTGGACATGCACCAGCACCTCAATGTACTTCTTCTAGTGAGGGGCCCAAAACTGCACACAGTACTCAAGGTGCTGCCTCTCCAGTGCCAAGTACAGCGACTTCCCTACCCCTGCTGGCCATGCTATTTCTGATACAAATCCTCATGAGGTTCACATGGGCCAATTTCTGGAGCTTGTCCAGGTCCCTCTTGGTGACATCACTTCCCTCTAGCATGTCGTAGACATCTGGGGAGTAATTCTTATGCCTAAAGGTATATGCCTGGGATCACATGAGATGTCCTACTGTATCCGAGATCTTCATGTCATACTGGCAACTGTAACTTAATAGACATACACATTTTCTGTAAGAGCAGCTGGATGCTATGTGCTTCAAATGCCACCACAGACCTAATTACTTTTCTGAACTCAGGTGATCTGATTACTTTCCTATACTAAAGTCCTGTCACTGATCTTTCCTATATGCCTCTGGCAATGTGCCAGTGCCGCTTCTGAGTGAGATATTTGTGGGTGGCTGTTCAGCTGAGGCAAACTCACATAGGAGTTGGGGTGAAATTAGCTTCATTCTCTTTTTAATAGAGCCCATTTTACCTCCCTATTCCTAAGGCTGTAGATTACAGGGTTCAGTATAGGGGTCACTGCGGAATAGAACAGAGAGAGAGCACCTTGTCCACATCCAGAGAATAGCTGCATTTGGGATGTATGTAGATGAACACAACTGTCCCATAGAATAATGTCACTACAGTGAGATGAGAGAAGCAAGCGGAGAATGCCTTATACCTTCCTTTGGCAGATCTGATTTTGAGGATGGACGGAACGATGAGGCCATAGGACACCAAAATGAGCAGAAAAGGCATCACGATAACAAAGGCAGCAGCCAGAATGATCTGTAGTTCATTCCAGTAAGTGTCCACACACATCAGCATCAGCACTGGCTGGATCTCACAGAAGAAATATTTGATCACGTTGGAGCCACAGAAGGGCTAAGAGAAAATAAATGGAATGTGCCCAAGTACCACAAGGTTGACACATATCCATGAGGAAGCAGCCAACTGCATGCATGCCTTCTTATTCATGCAGAGGGTTTGGTAGCAGTCGTATGACATGACAGCTAAGAGGCAGCACTCAGTTGCCCCAAAGAATAGAAGACATCTAACCTGCAAAAGACATGGATGTATAACTCGAGAGAAGATTGACCAGCACTGTGGGCAGGGTGACAGAGGTGTAGCAGATCTCCAGAAACGACAAGATCCCGAGGAAGACCTACATGCGGGGTGTTGAGCACAGAGTCCATGTTCAGTACAAGAAGAATTGTTAGTTTTCCTAGCACCGTGATAATGTAAATACATAGAAACATGATGAAGAAGATGACTTTCATATCTGGGTGATGCGAAAAAAAAACAGGATAACAAACATGACCGCAAGTTTTCTTTCCAGTGGTCCCTTATTCAGAAGATTTAATCTTGGAACAATAAAGACACAGTGGCAACAACGAAACAGTATAGCACACTTCTTAAGGAAGCCAAATGGCTCCTTTTTATTTATTTTTTTTTTTAGCAGCACCTTACATGAAATTCAGAGAATCAATTACAGTACTAAAGTAAGGCATCTACTGCTTTTTGAGAAGACTGATGGTCTGCACCCTGGCCACCATCTGCCATGTAGTGAAGACAGGGTGCACTCCTGTGGCTCTTGTGTTATATTTCTGAGCTTTGCGTGTATATGCTGGATAGCCCATGATATCTGAATCTGTAGACCTGTGCTTAGGCTTCTCAATCACTGGTGTGATTTCTGTGTTTCAGATGCTGTAATCTTACATGTCTTGCTAAACAATGAGGACAAATCCCACCCAACCTGTCCAGCAGCCCATAAGACAGTTTTTCCGTCCTCCCACCCATTTGATACTAACCTGGTATGATGTCTGTGCTATGTGCATGTTCTATAAGAACAATAGTTGATCTGTGCAGGATTTTAGTTTAAACACTTTCATTCTACTCTCACCTTGCATTGGAGTTTGGACACATATAACAGTCATAAATCTTAAAATGAAAGAGACGACCTGTCATGGTGTACTCTTCCATTTGAAAGCTTAGGTAGCATTGGATGACAAGTTCAGATCACTTTGTATGCATGGACATTTAGGTGCTTATACATACGTGTCCTGTGCTGGTTTATATGTC